GTGCAAAAGAAGCTTCTTTGATGAGTGGTGACTGTAAATATAAGGGCACACATCTTGCACATAGTAAGAAATTATATTAGTCTAGGGATGTGACAGTTTGGGGATCTATGACCTCTCCAGCCATGTGCACTTGGCTATGTTTACAGTACCACACATGAGTTTCCTCCCGCTGAGTGGGTTTTTAGTCCAATTACTTAGCTGTTGGTTGCCCCCAAGATAAAAGTGCCACTACTGCAACAATGTTGCATGGTGTGTGGGTCATTGATGTGGTTATTTGGTCTTGAAGCTGGTGTTGGATCATCCATTGTTTTCCCTTGGCACCTTCATAGTGTTCTACAAGCTATGAAAGCTAGCCTTCAGGGGAACTAGCTTCCAGGTCAGTCCCAGCTCCACTGCTCCAAATCCTGTGTCCAAAGTATGTCCTGTCTTCATCAGTAGGGTCTTACCTTCAAGTTCTTGGAGGCAATCAAGGGCTATGGCAATAGCCTGTGTAATTTTAGGAGTCTCTTGGACTACTCTGGCCAACAACTCAAAGGAAGCTATCTCCTGTCTGACACTGTTTCTTCTTATATAGCCTTCAGCTATACACATGGACTCATGTAGAGATATTATATGTGTAATTTGTCATCAGGTTGTTGAATTAATATGATTCCCTCTGGATTTTTATGCTAGATAGTCATTATTTATCTCTCCTCTCTCTCCCTGTCTAACCCTTCCACCATGGCTTCCCCATTTAAAGTGTTTCCATTTTCCCCATTTCTCTCCTTTATAATACCCATCTCCTGTGGTCCCACATCTCTTGAGCTCCTTCTTTCCCTTTATCCCCAAAGGTCCTTATATAATCCTCCCATCCCATTTAAATATCCCCATTTTATCCATTTCTCCCTTAGTAACATCTGTTTCCTACTGTTTTTCTCTCTCGGGTTCCTTCTTTCCCTTTGCCTCCATGGTTCCTTTTCATTATCCTGGTTCCTTCAGTTATATCAGAAGACAAACTTACATATAAAGATTTGGTGCTAGGATCCACATATGAGGGAGAACATATTTCATTTGAATTTTTTTTGAGTCTGTGTTATTCATTTATTATAACAGTTTCCAGCTCTGTCTACTTACCTGCAAATCCCTTATCCTTTGTAACCTCATCAAATCTGCAGATGATTCATCTTATGCTGTCCTACTTTAACCATATCCTTCAGGAGACTAATGCAAGTTTAATTTCATACTTACTTGTGTAATCACTTTTGATCATTCTCTTTTACCTCTAACAATAGACCGTCTGTTACAATAGAGAGTGTTTCTACTTTGCGTCATTTTCTGAGATGGCAAGAGATCAACATGTGAAAGCATTTCTTCAATAAAGAATGATAGAATTTAATAACTGGGGAACAGAAGAGAAAATTCAGAAAGCCAAAAACGTCCAGGAAGTGAGTAAGGTAAGGGACACTGAACAGGAAGAGGAGAAGCATGTCATTGGAAAAAAAAAAAAAACATGCACTTTAAGAATCCTGTTCTTACCACAGGTAACTCTGAAAGCAGGTCCTCAGACATTCATGTGAGTACAGGGGGTCTACATGAGAAACGCAAACGAGGGGCTAGAGAGATGGCTCAGCAGTTAAGAACACTGGTTGTTCTATTTGCCCTCCACAGGCATTGCACAACACGGGTGCTCTTACCTACATGCAGGCAATACACGCATACACATAAAATAAAAATAATAAATAAAATTTTTTTAAATGTTTTTTTTTAAAAAAAAGCAATGGCTGCTCTTGCAGAGGACAGGGATTCGATTCCTAGCACCCACATGGCGGTTTACAAGCTTCCATAGCTCCAGTTCCAGGGGATCTGACTCCCTCTTCTGACCTCTGTGGGCATTGCACGACATTTAAATGCGTGCAGGCAATACACTAAATCACATAAAATAAAATTAAAATGTAAAACAAAAAAAGAAACACAGATGATGGAGTGGGACAGTATAAAAGGGATCAAGGGAGCTGAGATGCATGATGAGGTGCCTGCAGTTGTTGACGTGGATGGTGGACACCAGCATCACTACCAATGCAAGGGACTCCATCCACATCTTCATTAAGAAGGAGGACCTGCCTGGGGAGATGCTCTTGGGTTCCAGTTCCCCAGTGTTTGGCATTCTCCTTGGAAATATCAGATACTTCACAATCTGGTACTGAAACTACCATAGATAAACCATTACACAGATGATAATCCTCAGTGGGAATTCAATCTTCAAAATTTTGAGACTGATACAACTGCCTACCAGACATATGAGGTCTGATCTGATCAACAGGGTAACCCATGGCGTGCCAAACGTGTGCCTCGCACTCAGATTCAGTGATGATTGTCTGGTATCTGTAAGTCTCTGCTTCTTTGACTTCTGGGCCACAGGATAACATTTACTCTGAATTTGCTCTCATTCCTCCTTCCTCTTTCTCCTCCCAAACGATGTTTCAGTTCTGGAATTAGAATCTCCACTCATCCATTTATAGAGAACAGAAAAGAGAGAACATGACAGTCAATGCCTACACAAACCACTGCCCAGGTCATCCAGGGACACACCCATTGGACCAGAGCTCATGATGAGCATTTGTCCAAGAGAAACCCAGTCTCGGTGTTTGAGAACTGGTTGCAGGGACCAAGTAGTCCAGAGAACACATCAGGCAGATCCAGCTTGCACAATCTGTGGATTTTTTCTATTCTGCTCTACCAGTAATTGAGCTCCTGGGCTCGAGGAAGTCAAATGCCTTACAGCTGAGCTGCATCCCCAGTGTCTGCAGAGGACAATTTGTTGAGAATGTACAGATAGATGAATGGCCAGGAGTAGCAGTTAGACCTCTGGATACCCTATTTTTGATCAGATAAATAGGGCTTGCATCTTGATCACACAAAGTGACTTCATCAAATCCTGATGGAACTGGTTTATCACAAGATAACCTCACAGACTTCAGTCAAAGTTCTGACACTGGCTGTCACAGAATCTATTCATAGGGCTAAACATGTCCCTCATGGGTCTCCTTATAAACATGGTCTACTTGGAAACTGGGGGTCAGAAGAGACCATAGTCACTCAAAGGTAATAGTGACAGATGATGAAAGTCAGGCAATATCTTCCCAATTAATTTTCTCACTGAGTATAGTCAGTTTTTAGTTATTAATATATGTTATAAATAGATACTAGTGATGAACTAGTCAGTGTTTATCACTGGTAATTAATAACTTGTCTGTTCTCTGGACATCATCTTTTCTACATCCATGTTGGAACTCAGTGTGAAAGGACCTGGTGATTTTGTGTTATAAATGAGAAAGCTATCACTCCCATTCCAAACAATGTGTTTGCTTAATTTTTCTTGTTGATCTGCAGATGGCATAATACTCTATTCCGAGACAGA